GACTTGTTTGTGTGCCAATGGTGCGGCTTGTGACCCAATTGACGGCTCTTGTACCTGTACCTCAGGTTGGAAAGGGGAACGCTGCCAGCAGCCCTGCCCCGTGAGTATCTTCCCGGGACCGGTTCCATTATCTCTCTGCCAGAGGCTAGCAGGACTGGCTGTTTGATTTATAAATATTTGTCATGACAGGGCAGTTTAAGCTTCGCAATATGGTTTGTGTGTGTGGTTATTCAGGATGGCACATATGGACTGGAGTGTCGTGAGCGTTGCGACTGTAACCACGCTGATGGATGCGACCCTGTGAGTGGATTCTGTCGCTGTTTGCCGGGATGGACAGGTGAGTGTAAGACCAGTGACATAATCACATCGACATGTTAAAATAGGGTTTTATGAAGCAACATAGATGCTGGAGTGAATTACTCACTCATTGTTGAAAGAAGAATTGATGTGATTTAAACATGCAGTGACAGGCACATAGGACACATTAAATTTATGAAAAGTGACAGTAAAGTCTATCCACTTGAAAGTTCTATGAACTTTCTATTCATCAAAGAATCATAAAAAAATTTATCAAAGTTTCCAAAAAAATGTTTTGCAGCATATCTGTTTTTAACATCGTTTTATAATAATAAGAAATGTTTCTTAAGCGCCAAATCATCATATTATAGGATCACGTGACACTGAAGACTGGAGCAATGACTGCTGAGAATTCAGCTTTGCCATGACAGGAATATATTATATTTTAAAATATATTAAATTAGAAAACAATTTTTACTGTTTTTTTAATTCAATTAATGCAGGCTTGGTTAGCATGAGATAATTATTTCAAACCTTTAAAAATATTACCATCCCCAAACATCTGAACACTAGTGTAGAACCTAGTATAGTTTATAGCTACGCTTTGATTTCTTGAGGATGAAGTTTTCAAGATGATCAAGTACAAATTATGGATAGCCAATTTTATGTTTTGGCCAATTGTTATAGGAATACTCAATGTGGTTATCCAGAAATGACTTTATATTCTGTATAGAGCTGCAGCTCTGTTACGCTGCAGAAACACTGTCAGTGTGAAAGTACAATGAGACCCTGCTGTTAATACAGTTACGCTGCAGCGCTGCTTGCTCAAGCTGTGTGAAACCGACTTACTACTAGTAGTAATACTGCTGCTAATCATTATAAGAGTCAGCTGGCAGAATTTTGAAGATATTGAGGTCTCTCGAGATACCACAATGTGTCTTCATGACACAAATATAATATATAATATCCACCCCGAAGCATCTGCTATAGTTTATTGTTAGAATGTAATAGATTTTCCAATAAAATATTGCAGTGTTAATTTTTAAAGTAATCCAGAAATAATAAAATCAGTGTTTTCTTTGTAATCATGAAAGTATTAATCTTTCATCTGCCTTCATCTTGAGGGAAAAAATCATGATTTTGTTCTGAAATATAATTATGAAAACACGAAATCCCATTTTATTTCAATAGCAAAGCAATAGCACATTTTTATTTCAGCTCCTGCTAATGTTGTGTGTTAAATGAAACCGGTTCTACATATGTGTGTATATATTGTTCAGATTATTCTACACAGGACCACCATGCCTCCAAAAGATGTTATCATAGGACACACAGCCTGCAGGCAGATTAATATGAGATCTCCAAAAGCATGAAGCATTTATAATAACTGTTGCTGAACATGTTACCTAATTAGATTGCACTGACCCAGAATGAAGCAATCGTTCTGCAGTTTGCATATATGGCTTTCACACTGCGCTTACACCTTCTGTTGCAGCGGTCTCAGCACTGTGTGTCCAAGAAAGAGATATGAGAGGCAGTGGACATGTTTGAATATCACAGAAGGGCTGTGTTTACAAGTTCTTCAGCATGTGAACATGTTATACGAGAAGCGTAAGGGAGCAGGTTGAGATGCTAGATGTGGCTTTGCCTGCAGGCCCTCCATAACTCTCTCCGTTCAGGTCTCCGAATTCTGACCATGTGTACTGGGAAATGATGTGGCTTTCATTATCTGCAAGAAGGAGCCAGCTACGCAGAAATCTCACACTCTGCATCCTGCCCAGGTCTCCGCCATCTGCCAGGCCTAATGGAGTCACCAGGGTGCAAATAGGCCTCAGAGACTGCGAGCATCTGAACAAAGAGACTATGCAGAGCAGTGATTTATGGAAGCTATCGAGAGAGAGAGAGAGAGAGACAGAGCTAGACGTACATAGTGCAAATGTGAGAAGATAGCGTCAGGTCTAAGACTTTAAGAGAATGAGCTACACATGAGATGGTGAGAGAGAGAGATTGCAGAATGTATGATAAGGAATCTCACGTGGAGTCATGTTTTTGAGGTTGCTCATTTAAATAGGTAATTTCAAATTTGAATTGATCTTCTGAAATAAGAGTTTGTACTATAAAGACTATAACTATAAAGCCCTGCAACTGTATCTCTCAAAACTTCCTCCTAGTCCCAAAAGACCATTTAAAGAAATTGAGGAGCAATAATTAATTTTTTATTTTATATTTTTATTTGCAATATAACAAAGAGTGAAAAATTTAAGGGGGTCTGAATACTTTCCGTACCCACTGTATATATGTATGTATGCGTGTATATGTATATATATTTATTGGCTATATATGGCTTTTGTGTACAGTAAAACTTGCAAGCCATAATAATTAAAAAAAAATGTTCTTTTGATTCCGTTCTTTTCATTAATTCATTAAACAAATAGAACGATTCATAAGTGAATCAAATGAACCAAAATGATTTTCACAAATCCTTACCCAGTAATCACAAACTGGAAAGGTCATGAAAATTGGCCAAAGAATTATATAAAAAATATTTAATAATTACAAAAGCATATACATAGAAGGCTTAATAGTACAGCAGCAAAACAAAAAAAAGATAATAAAAAAAATCAATTTAATTCTAAGTGCCAGAGATAGTGTGGAAAATGGTTGTGAAAAATAGTAATAAATTATCACAAATAAAATATATTTATTATGAACTCATTAAGGTGATAAAGTAAATGGACCGTCTTTGAAGAGCAGCAGTTGGAAGATTTTTGTGATAAAAATAAAAAGAATTACTAAAGAATGGAGGAGTACAGCATACAGAAAGATATGCCCAAGGACAGACAAGCTGAGAGTGTGTTTTATCAAAAGAGAGAAAGAGAGGGATGTGTGAGACGGGAATTAAATGGTCACTTTCAATAAAACTGGGTGTGCGTCTAATGGAGGGTGGAAGAGAAAGACACAAAATAACTGAGAGAGAGATAGAGTGAGAAAGCAAAGAAATGTGGACGTGCGATAATAGGTGCTCCAGGGGCTCTAGACTGGAGGATCGTGGGTATAACACAGAGTGTCCTGCAGAAACCTTTGCATTATGTGTACAGGCATGTGTGCCCGTGTGTCCACTTAACATGTAAAGTGTGGTGGAAAGTGATGTATATGATGGTACTTGCTATTCACTCATTAATTGGCTGCCGGTCCCCCTGGCAGTTCTCTTCTTGAAAAGTCTCATATGCAGAGAGTCACTTTTCCTCTTTCTTCTCCCTCGCTATGCTCAAAAGCCCCTCTGTTTGTCACCATTAGGCTTTCAGGGCACTCTTCTATTCTCATTCATTGCTGACAATAAAGGAAGTGCAGGACTTTTTTTCTGCCCAGCCCAGCAGAAGCTCAAACAGGCTTGCCCCTCCTTTGATGTGCGGTGGCTGGGCTTGTCTTAACTGCACATCCCCGTTGCCTCTCCATCCGACAACTTCTCTGTTCTGCCACAGAGGTGAAGCAGGTATGATGCCTGTCCCTGAAGTTTAGACCTGGTCTAATTCAAAGCCCTGGGACTAATGCCGTTTTAATGGGCCGTGCCACTCGCTCAGAAAGTCTCTGTCAAAGGAAATTGTAAATGAGGTTCCTGAGCTGCAGCTTGAAAGGATGTGTGTGTGTGTGTGTGTGTGTGTGTGTGTGCACATCATTTCTCCCTTCTATGCCATCTTGCTTATGGAGTGTGAAATATATAGATGCTAATTTATTTAAGTTGTATTATTAAAGCAACAAGCCACTCGAGGATGAGCATTACACCGATTTTACCAAAGATAAATGCTGTACTTTGAATGGTGAAACTGTGGTCAGTTCACTGTAGTTCATTGCCCCAAATGACTAATGGCTTTTTTTAAATTGATGACAGCAGCCACATCGTTTGACATAATAAATATATATATATATATATATATATAATCATTTAACAGCACTGAATATAGATATAGATAGATATATCATTTGTTTGTTAATAATATTAATAACCAGCATTGTGGTAGAAATTCCCCTACGCACCTGACTTAATTTAAATCGGGTGTCTCCTAACATCAAAAATTATCCTCGGGTGACTTTTCTGACAGCTAATCATGATCCGACTGCACTGTAGAACCAGGCCTAAGACAGATCAGTTAAGAATTACAGCTACCTGACTCCTAAGAGAGTCTCACTCTTAGTCAGACGATGTCTCACCCCCTATGAACTATCAATTGGGACTAAGATCTCTAGTGTTCCACTACAACTGCTGCGCAGCAGTACCCAGATAGACTCCAGACAATGCGTTGAAAAAAGTTTTAATCATGGCCAGGAGGACCTCATACCAATCGTATAGAATCTCCCCCAAAAAAGAAAACAACAGTTTATATAGTATACAGGTGCATCTCAATAAATTAGAATGTCGGGGAAAAGTTCATTTATTTCAGTAATTCAACTCTTTTTGAATTTCAAAAATTGTGAAACTCGTGTATTAAATAAATTCAATGCACATGGACTGAAGTAGTTTAAGTCTTTGGTTCTTTTAATTGTGATGATTTTGGCTCACATTTAACAAAAACCCACCAATTCACTATCTCAACAAATTAGAATACTTCATAAGACCAATAAAAAAACATTTTTAGTGAATTGTTGGCCTTCTGGAAAGTATGTTCATTTACTGTACATGTACTCAATACTTGGTAGGGGCTCCTTTTGCTTTAATTACTGCCTCAATTCGGCGTGGCATGGAGGTGATCAGTTTGTGGCACTGCTGAGGTGGTATGGAACCCCAGGTTTCTTTGACAGTGGCCTTCAGCTCATCTGCATTTTTTGGTCTCTTGTTTCTAATTTTCCTCTTGACAATACCCCATAGATTCTCTATGGGGTTCAGGTCTGGTGAGTTTGCTGGCCAGTCAAGCACACCAACACCATGGTCATTTAACCAACTTTAGGCGCTTTTGGCAGTGTGGGCAGGTGCCAAATCCTGCTGGAAAATGAAATCAGCATCTTCAAAAAGCTGGTCAGCAGAAGGAAGCATGAAGTGCTCCAAAATGTATTGGTAAATGGGTGCAGTGACGTTGGTTTTCAAAAAACACAATGGACCAACACCAGCAGATGACATTGCACCCCAAATCATCACAGACTGTGGAAACTTAACACTGGACTTCAAGCAACTTGGGCTATGAGCTTCTCCACCCTTCCTCCAGACTCTAGGACCTTGGTTTCCAAATGAAATACAAAACTTGCTCTCATCTGAAAAGAGGACTTTGGACCACTGGGCAACAGTCCAGTTCTTCTTCTCCTTAGCCCAGGTAAGACGCCTCTGACGTTGTCTGTGGTTCAGGAGTGGCTTAACAAGAGGAATACGACAACTGTAGCCAAATTCCTTGACACGTCTGTGTGTGGTGGCTCTTGATGCCTTGACCCCAGCCTCAGTCCATTCCTTGTGAAGTTCACTCAAATTCTTGAATCGATTTTGCTTGACAATCCTCATAAGGCTGCGGTTCTCTCAGTTGGCTGTGCATCTTTTTCTTCCACACTTTTTCCTTCCACTCAACTTTCTGTTAACATGCTTGGATACAGCACTCTGTGAACAGCCAGCTTCTTTGGCAATGAATGTTTGTGGCTTACCCTCCTTGTGAAGGGTGTCAATGATCGTCTTCTGGACAACTGTCAGATCAGCAGTCTTCCCCATGATTGTGTAGCCTAGTGAACCAAACTGAGAGACCATTTTGAAGGCTCAGGAAACCTTTGCAGGTGTTTTGAGTTGATTAGCTGATTGGCATGTCACCATATTCTAATTTGTTGAGATAGTGAATTGGTGGGTTTTTGTTAAATGTGAGCCAAAATCATCACAATTAAAAGAACCAAAGACTTAAACTACTTCAGTCTGTGTGCACTGAATTTATTTAATAAACGAGTTTCACAATTTGAGTTGAATTACTGAAATAAACGAACTTTTCCA